ATTCAGGTGGCTGGAATTTGCTTGAAAACAGAGAGGAAGGGATTCATTAAGATCATTTTCTCTTTCACTTGGCCACAGCTTTCAAGGCTGGAATGAGTCGAGGTAGTCCTGGCTCCACCTCTTACCTGGTGCCTACCCTGCCCTCTGTCCGAGGGTTCCTGCCTTCTCAGGCATCCCTCACAGTCTGCTTCATCCACTCAGAACTTTGGTACCCTTTCTGGGTGGGAGGTGGGTATGTGGTGGCCTTGGAAGAGTGCACTGTAACTCTGGCGATCCCTGCCATTAGGGGCTGGAGAGCAGGAGGTGCAGGCAGAAAGCAGAATCAGAGATGACACAGAGAAGGTAGCTGGGCGAGGCAGGCACGTCCAAGGGCTATCCCAGGCACAGTTCTAATTGTATAAATGGTTGGCATCAGAGTACCCAGTAATATGGACTGGTGAAGTATGAAGGAGTCAGGCACATGAGAGGTGGCCCTTCTGGGGACTCTAGACATACGTGGAAGATCCAGTCCCAGGGCAAGAACCTGGAGAGCCAGGCAGGGGGTAGGGGGAAAGGTTGGAGGAGCATCAGGCAGGGCATCCAGGTGGGACATAGGCTGAAGCCCAGCTCTGCAGTCACTTGATGTGGGGACAATGGGAAAGGAGGGGCCATGGGATCCCTAGTCAGACTAGCTGGGACAGTGGTGGGACATGGAGAGCTTGGTAGTTGCAGGTGGACCCAGGAGTCCCCTTGGGTGAGGGCCAAGTGGGCAGATGCTATGGACGCACATGCTGCCTGTTAACTCCCCAAATGACAGAGAGTCTGCAGTAGAAAATCATCTTAGGTATCTGAGCAAGTGTGATTCAAACCAATTTTAATACACAGTCTTAAAATCTGAAGGCTAAAAAATATTTTAAGGCTAAAGAAACCTCTTAAACCCCTCCTCATTGTTCCCTGGCTTTCAAGGCTCAGGAGTCACCTCAGTACCAGCTGGGGTCGGTCAGTGGCTCAGGGTGGTGCTGTCCACACTCTCCTTGCAGGACGTGGGTCCCATAGCCTGCCCTTTGGGTGAGATTTAGGGTGCAGCTGGGCATGTGCCCTGTAGGAGGAATGGACCGGAGAAACAGGTTTTGTGGTCCCTTCCTTTGGAGGGGAAGGGAGGCTCACGTTTGCTGAGTGCCTAGACTCTGGGTTGCCAGGCTCTTTATGTGTTATCTCTGTTGATCCTCACAAAAACCCAGTAAGTTGGAGGAGGAAACTGGGGCCCAGAGAGGTTAAGAAATTTCCCAAGGTCACCCAGCTTGCTAGTGGTACAATGAAGACTTGAACCCACCCTGGCTCTCCCTCTACCCTGCCGCCTCCCAGCAGCACTTGAAACGTGCAGATATGTGTCTCACAGCTCAGTTTTGGCAGATGTCATTTTGCAGAAGTGCTTGTGAGAGGGGCGAGCCCGTGGCAGCCGAGATGGGAGCCCACGCGGCTGGATCTGGTTGGTGAGCCTTTGCACATTCTGGCTTCGTGGATGCCCCTCAGGCCATCTCTGCGGCGCTCTGCATGGGAGGGGCCTCTGAGGGGCTTTTGCTGTCACTATTAGTTGCTGGAAGGGGAAAGAGAAAAGCGTACAGCAAAGAAAGCCTAGGCGCTACAATGACAGGAGAACAAATGAGTGCTCTGGGTGTGTCGCCTGCACAGCGGGTGTAGAATGGAAGGAAGCTTGGGAGGTGGGTGGCGGATCATCTTGGATGAGTACGACTCCCACGGGTGTAAGACTGGGCTTCCGGAGACAAGGAATCCCCTGAAATTATATGTAAAACTTTGCAATATGTGCCTTTTGTTCTGAGAGGAGGGTCCGTGGTTTTCACAGACTCTCAAAGCAGGCTGAGGCCGCCAGAAAGTCTGAGTCTGCTGTTTGAGAGGCTGGAATTACGCCCTGTGCATGTTCTTTTAATTTGGCCGTAATGCTAAAAATAGAAAATTGAGCTTGCATAATATAGGATTTCTGGGGTGATATCAGGCAATAGGTGGCGGTGGTGGTGGAGGGATGTATGGGACGGGATTGTACGCGGCAGCGCGAGAAAGCAGTCAGGGCTGGATGCTCACCTAATTTTGCTTCATGTTATCAGTTATACAATTTTAATAGCCGGTTAGAGAAACAAATTTGTGGAGGGGATGGAAGGCTCGGTAGGGAGCAATCTGTTTGTGAATACTGTCCTTGGTCTCTCTTTATGTGCTAAGCAGATCAATACCGCTTCCGGATAGAGACCACTTAACAGCCATACTCTTTCATCCCCTTGAGGAATCTGGGGGAACCGTCAGAGCGAGAGGAGGGGCGTACAGCAAAGGCTCGTAAATGCACCCTCTGTGTTCTCCAGCGACACACAACCCGGCCCTAAGAGCTCAGCCGGCACTTCCTGCCCTCCTCCCGCCGCGTCCAGTTTGCATCCCCTTTTGGAGCAGGAAATAAATTGTGTTTGCATATAGGAAAATGTGTTGAATTGTCTTTGGCGGCTTGTGAAGCTGCTGAGTCTCGCGTGAGGAGGAGGTGACCTGTTTCCTGACGGCGTCCTCCTCCCTCAGCGGTTTCCCAGCCCTTCTCTTCGAGCCCTGTGGCTTTTATGGGAGGGCAGGTGCTCAGATGCCCGACCTCCTCCCCTAAAACCTCACCTCCTGGTTACTGTGATCAGAATCACGCAGACAAGCTGGTGGCAGGGAAGCAGGGCTGCTGATAAACGCGCCCCTTTGCAGCCCAGGGCCCCCCAGGCGGGACACTCTTCAGGGAGCAGGGCCTGCGGAAGGCGGCCTCGGATCCTTAGGATTGGGCCAGTCTGGGTTAATCTTCCTGCTTCTAGGGCACCAGGAGGAATGTCTTACTCCCTAACTCCTTAAAGCCGTCTTTGTTCACTGAGCGCCAGATCACTGGGGTTTAGTGGAGGCAAAAAGCCAGGAAGGATGGATCTTTCTAGGGAGGTGAGGCGTCCCAGCAGTTGCCCCAAAGGTGGAGCTGTTTTGACCATGTAGACTTGTGCTGATCTCTTGACTAATGTTCCGAGTGTGTCCCCTGTGGGCAGAGACCAGCTGGGCCTTGTGGCCTTGGATCACTGTCTGCAGGGCTGCTTGACAGTGACCGAGAGCACCTTGGTGTTGTTTAAGGCTTGATGCCTTGATTCCGGGCTGGCCCTGGGAAGGGGAGTGGAGGCGTGGGCAGCTTTATTTTCTCGGTTTCCCTGAAACAGGGAAAAGCAGGTACCTGGTAGGCACATCTTCCTCCTCAGAGACCTCGTCCCCACCCCATGCCGTGTTGGAGAGAGGGTCTACCTCACGGGGAGGCTGAGCTTCTAGTGCGGACTGTGGCACTTTGGGAAAGGGACTCGGTGCGCCTCTCAGCCCCTCCCAGCCCAAGGGCTGCTGCTGACAAGAAGAACTTGTCTGTGGAATATGACTGGCAGGCACCCCCTGTTTCCATGGTTACTAAATAGGGCAGGTTAATATTAAGGCTGCCCAAGGCAAAAATGGCACTGATGGCAATGCTTGTGCAGGGGCCTTCCTCTGGTCTGCTTTAACCCTATTCCCAGACAGGGTGGGCAACATTTGACGGGAGGTCATGAGGATTTTCTTCAAGGGTTCACCTGGCTGCGCAGCCTTGGCTTTTCTCACAGGTGTATTTCTTGGTTCAGAGGAGTGAGCCTCCCAGGAGGCCAGAGGGGGCGCTGGAGAGCACAGCGCTTTCCCAGAGCTCTGTGCTGCTTGCTCCCGGCCACCCCGCCTCCATCAGTCCCTGGGGTTGCATTAGAGATGCTGACCCCTGTCCCCAGAAGAGCATGGTGTTTAGAAAGCCCTGAATACAAACTTTGACTGGCCCTAGATCACATGTACCAAATCATCAGACGATGGCCACCTACCCCAGGTCACAACTCTTTTTCATGGGGCTGTGTCAGTAACCGGTTTAATTATATGACATTAAAAAAATCTCATATTTGGTGATCAGATACCAGGTTCTGGCAAAAGCACAGGCTGGAGTTCCTGGTCCTTTGTCCTCTGCTGCATGACACACCATTCTGGTCCTCTGTTTCTTTGTAACTAGAATAGAATCATCATTGTGGGGAGAATGGGGGGGAGTTGATCGGTGTGGATGGGAGACATCAAAAAACATAAGTCAGTGAAGGGCACTTTACGAATTCATGCAACTGTCATCTTTAGTGGCAATAACAACATGTTATTTTAGTCTCTCTCCTTGGCCATTTCAGGGGGAAATTGATTAAAACCTTTGAGTGCTGCTTTAGAAATTATTTTTTGTGTGGAACAAAAAAATAAAAAGTGCTTAGGAAACAGTTACCTAATAAGATTAGCTCACTGTTTAATCCTGACAGAACCAATTCTTCGTGCATTATGGAGACATTTTTTAGAGTCAACAGGGAAAGCCTCAGGTGACAAGAGCTGTGATTCTGCAGTGACCTGTCTTTTGCTTTGCTTTTACCTGGCCCTGGAGCACTTGACTATGTAATTCTATGTAATTTACATGTCTGAGTTTTTTTAAGTATATTTTCTTTCAAGAATGCACTTCATTCAGTCTTTCTGTGGGTAGGGTATCAGAATTCAGAGGCTTTGGCTGACTAATCTCACTGAATTTCTGTGCAGGATTTAAGGAGCTGCTTCCCTCCCTTTTTCTGAGCCGGGGATGCTAGCCTCTTGGGGAGTTTCTTCTTATTTACTTATTTATTGGCTGCGTTGGGTCTTCGCTGCTGCGCAGGGGCTTTTCTCTCCAGTTGCGGCGGTTGGGGGCTACTCTTTGCTGTCGTGCGTGGGCTTCTCATTGCGGTGGCTTCTCTTGTTGCGGAGCACAGGCTCTAGGCACGTGGGCTTCAGTAGTTGTGGCACGCGGGCTCAGTAGTTGTAGCTCTCAGGCTCTAGAGCACAGGCTCAGTAGTTGTGGCGCAGGGGCTTAGCTGCTCCATAGCATGTGGGCTCTTCCTGGACCAGGGCTCGAACCCGTGTCCCCTGCATTGGCAGGCGGATTCTTAACCACTGCGCCACCAGGGAAGTCCCGGGAGTTTCTTATTCTGACACAGCTTGTCACTTCCTGTCAAAGGGGAACAGCAGGTGCAAACTGGGCCCCTTACCTGGTGGCTATTGGCCTGATTGATGAGTCATCCCCATAAAACTCCTGGGGCCGTGGGCCCTGGCTGCTCACGTTGACTTACTCTTTGAACCCCATCTAATGGAAATGAGGGCAAACAGAGAAAATGCTTCCTCATGGGTCCAGTTCATGGACCTTGGGGGACAGTATCGACCCACCAACTGGACCATCTCCAAGGGCCCCTCCAGCTCAAAAACCCCGTGAACTCTACCACCCTTGGTGCTTGCTTCCAAGGTCTCAGGTGGACTTCCCAGGACCCAGGGCTGCACATCTGGGCCCCAGAATCATGGGGGGTGGGGAGCCAGTTGAGGAAGCAGAAAGGAAGTCAGCCTCCCTGGTTGTTCCTGTGATGACAGGCTCTTTGTAGCTCCATCCCCACGTTAGAGGTGTTTATTAGGCTGAGCCTCTGCCCCTTGAGGTGAGTGTGAGATCTACCGCTCTCCAGAGCCTTAATTTAAGCACAGAAGCCACACACCAGGGATTGAACAAACAGTTCTCTATTTTTACAGGCTGACTTGACCTAGTCCAAAGGCCGAGGCCTCCTGAGGATTTGACACTAATCCTGTTGGATATTTCTCATACCTCCCTCATGCCTCATCTGGTGTTGTTCCTTTCTGGACTGAATAGGTTCTGTTTCTTCCTCATTACAAGTTTCTGCCTGTGTGAAGTTTTAGAAAGCTTCAGGACACATTCCATTTTTGAGTGGCCGAAGCCACAGAAAGTTAATATTTGGAACGGTAGGAGAGGAAGCGCTACAGGCAGAAACCTGGGTTTGATTAAAAATTAAAAAAAAAACAGAATTGTTGAGAATCCACCCTGACTGGATTGAAAGAAGAAAAGCAATTCCTTTTCCCTAAGGTGTCGGGAGGCTCTTGGTAGGGGTAAAGGCCCCTTAGTGCTGGAGAATCGCTTGGTGGCGCTTGGTGGCATATTGGACGTGAGGTTCTCGCGCTGGATCTGGGTTAGGCAGGATGGGCAATTACAGTGAAGCGTTTAAAGTGAAGGAGGAGAGTGGAACAAACAGTTGGATCAAAAGAGGGTATGTAGCCTGTCCCCCATCCTCCCAACAGGCTGCACAGCCAGGTGGGGAGGGCACAGGCCGCTCAGGGTGTTAGCTGACAGACTTGCTAATTAAACACCTAAGGGCAACAGTGCTTTGCCAATAGTGATGGCTATGCCAACGCTATCAGCTGCAAACTGGCTGCCAGGAGCATCCTAATTAAAAATAAACAGTTCTGGGGGTGGCTGAGAGAGTGGGATGGGGATCCTGCCCGGGTTTCTCGGGACTTCTAGGATTGCTCCTAGGGGAAAGTCACACCCAGTTCGCCTTTGGGTCCTTTTCTCAAAGGAGCCTGTGTCTCATCACAAGGTGGTGTGATGTGTGCTTCTTGAACTCCTAGGTGCTGGGGCGACAAGCAAACAGACAGAGCCTCTAGGAGCAGATTGCCTGGTGACTTCAGCCCTGGGGAGGAAAGGCTGCCTGGGGGGATAATGATTTCTGCTGGGTCTCTAAATTGAGGGGACAGCTAAAGCCCAAAGCCTCTTCTAAAAGAGGTTAGAATTTCATCAGAAAGTGAGTCTGGTCACATGAGGATTTCTGGCACTGTGTGCATGGCAGGCTGGACACCCGCCTGCCAGAATTGAGCGAGTGGATCGTATTGGCTTCAGCGGAGAGGGAAAGTCCCAGCCCGGCCGGGGAGAAGGAGCCTCTCACTCCCCTGCGGCCCGCGGGCTGGAGCAGCATAGCTGCTGCAGCGGGACTGGAGCTCTCGCGCCTCAAGCCCCCTCTCCTTTAACCCTGAAGAAAGTGTGTGGTCCAGGGACTGAAGACTGAAAGATGCCTAAGGAATGCAATGCTTTCCACGCCCTCTCGGCTGCTCTGTGCTGCTTCTATCACCGCAAGTCTTTCCTTGGAGTAAAGGTAGGTGTGAGATAAGGTACATCTAAAATTCTTTGGGGGGGGGCCTTGAAAGCACTAGAAAAGTTTGCAGCCCGCTGGCTGTAAAAACAGAGGTGCTGACTTTGACGTATGGATCTTCATAAGCCCCTAGTGGTGTGTCTCCTCTGGAAGCAGAATCGGGACACACAGAAGGGAGCTCCTTGTCTGTGCTTTAGGATGAAGCTCTGTTTTTCAAGAGGCTTTCAGTTTCCTTGGGCTGAAATTTTATACCAAGGTAGCTCAATACTATTTTTCTTTTCTCTCTCTCTCTCTCTCTCTCTCTCTCTCTCTCTCTCTCTCTCTCTCTCTCCCCCCTTGTTTGTAATGAAGGCTGAGCCCCTCTCTCCACTTACCCTGCTGTTCCATTATGTCAGTAAGGTATATAAGTACAAAAACCACCAAATATCTCCTTTCAAATTGCAGTCACGTTCCAAAACGTTTCCGTATTCAGAACTGTCTTTTTTCTTTTTTAATTTAAAGAATGCTCCCATTCTTAACCTTTGTTACAAGACATCAATACCAAAGGTGATATGTCAATACACTATTTATTTTGATGAAAATATTCAAAGAACCTCATTTGACTAAATCGAGACGAAGCCTCTGTTCTGTTGCCCACCTGTGACAACAACTAAGAATTCCATTTAGTATACGCTGTCACTGATCTGGGGGCTTGTCTGCCTTGGAAAAATCCTGTCGGCCCCAGCATGACTAAGGACCTCATTTATTCATGGGAAATAGGAATCAGAAAGCTCTCAAGGAATTCTTTCCACCCTGACAGCAGAGCTCCCTCTCCTAAGGGACTGACTTATTTGGTGCCATTGAAAAAGCTACAACAGGAAAATTTCATAGCAGATCCTGTTACAGGGAGAAAGAGCCCTTTGTAGAAAAATAGACAGTGAATATGAAGAGGAGAGGCTTCTTCTAATTTTACTGCCCTTTTGGAGTGTTCAGAATAGCTTTCTAACCATTCAGCCAAGTTCATTTTTGTCTCCTTGTCAAGGAATTTGGAGGAGAGTGAGCAATCATAGGTTAAGAGTGTTTCCTCCCTGATTTAAGAGCCCCTTTCTAACCTGGAGCCCAGTGGGGTGACGTGAGGACCATGTGGTTTCTGGCCTAAATATGGATCGTTCTAGAGTGGGGCAGATGAAGTCATGCCATTAACAGTATTTTAAAGCTGTCGGAGATAGACGGGGAGGTCCCGAAGGGAATCATGCACTGCAGGGACTGGCAGTAGATTTACACTCTAATAGAAGTCCTCCCATAAGCCAACTTCTGCTAGTTCAGAAAAGTGCAACTCACCATTTGGTATCTGAGGAAACAGCCCATAAATATCTGGGTCTGAGTGATGAGATTCTGTTCTGAGACCACTGCGCCTCTGCAGTTATTTTCTCCAGGGCCTGCACAGAAAGGCCACAGTAACACATGGGGTTGGTCTGAACTAACCATCCTTTGGCCTCCCCAACACAGCCACTCTTGGTGGTTGACTGTCGGTGGAAACACCCTCCTTCCCACCTGGGCTTCCTATCCCACCCTAGTTATGTTGCATCTTCATAGCACAGAGAGAGGACCTGACCTGCTCACTCACCAGAACCTGAAGCCTTCCAACCCAGCTCAGACTTTCCATCTGACTCTTGGGATGTGTTTCCCTGTCTTGTTTTGCTTAGATAGTTACCTGGGAAAGAAAACGTACCTGTGCTCAAATCCCTCGTCCTGCCAGTGTTGCCCCAGTGATAACGCTGCATCACTTTATTGACTCCCACTTTAATTAGGGGTTTCAGGTCTTGCTGCCCATAATTAGTTTCTGTTGCAATTAGAGTTTCAAAATTAAATTGGGATTGATTGCCTGATAGCAAAGCGGAAATAAAGCTCCAATTCTTGACCATGGATGCTACTTCCCTTGGCATGAATTTCTCATACCAAAAATAACACTGTGGTAGCCACGGTAACTTTCCATTTGGTCTAATCCATATCATCTCTGGAGAAAGTACAATGTTATTAATAGTGTTTGTTGTATGGGAAGAAAACTAAAAATATAAAAGCTCCTTCATTACATAGGGGACCAATCACACAGGCGCTTTCAGGGAATAAGATCTCATTTGCAGAGATTCTGCAGAATTTATTATGTGTTTAAGGGCCTTGTGTGGACTTGAATACAAAGGCCCTGGAAAAGAATTAATTGGGAGGCCAAGAATGGAGAGGAGGTCAAGGATATGCAGTCATTGCTGGTCCTCACGAGTTGAGGCCATGTCAAGGGTCACGATTTTAACATCCCAGAAGGGTTCACACAAGGCACTCATTTCACAAAAGACCTCTGGATCTCGAGTAAGAAAAGGAAAGGACATTTTGCTTACAGCCAATGGAAAAGAGTCTGTCATGAAGATATTCCAGATCCACGACGTTAGTTGGGATGTTTGAAAATCCCTGAATGGCAAATGTCGTAGCCTTTCCGTGTGTAAGAACTTTGTTAGGTGGGAGGGGGGTGATTTAATGACTGAGGCAGGTTCCTGCCTTTGAAGGGCTTCCCACAAGACCATTAGTCCATAGTGTCATTTCATTGCATTTGCAAAAGGCTTTCCAATGTCTGAGGTTCCTTCACAAGTTGTCTCCCTGGAGTCTCAAGACAAGCTGAAATCAGGCAGGACAGTAGTTTACTCCTCCTCCACAGAGAAGCCGAGGCTCAGAGAAGCTCCCTGCTCCAGAATCATTTAGTGGGGAACCAGGAGTAGAAATCAGATTTTGTGGCCTCAAGCCAAGTGTCCTTTCTCCGATACCATAGTAAGACCAGTGAACATTGACGAGATGATTCTGTCCCTACTAATACTTCAGTTAACAATTCAGTTGGGAAAGCATAGTGCGAACCTCAGCTTTCAGGAAAGACTTCAGGGAGGACGCAGAACTGGTTTTCATAGACTAGGTCGCCTTCCTGCAGCAGTGGCAGGGCCACCTTCCGGTTCCTAGAGAACTGCAGAAGGAATTTAGGAGAAGCAAAATAGATCCCATTTCTGGAACTGGCCATGGGGACAAACGCCCACTTCTCTGGCCCCTCGAGTCCCTGATTCTCCTTGTGTGTGGGCAGGGGAACCGGAGCTGAAACTTGCTGCCTTATCACTGGCTACTCCTGATGAAGGTGGGTGTGATTGTGTCAGGAAACTTCAGGGGAACCAAAGAGACTGGAGTTACCTTGCAAGTGCAGAATAGCCACCTTTCTGAAAGAGCACCAACAAGGAGGTTGGAGTAGGGAGTTGGTGGATAAATGAATCAGTAAGTCTTGGCTAACCAGTCACTAAGTCCAGTGGCACTGGTCTTGTCAATGAGAAGTCGTCGTTAGAGGCAGTGGATTTTAAGCATATACATTCTCATACAGAAGTGTGACTATCTTTGCAGCCACAAAGTGCCCTATAGTGGGAAGAGCTTATATCGTGCATTTGCTATCGTTGTGTTTTGTTTTGCTTTAAATCATTTCCCTTGCCCCTGGAAAAAGTATTTGGAGCCTCTCTGAATGCACATTATAGCCTGAGGTGTCTCATCTGCCCACCCCTGGAGGGTTGGGCCCTCAGAACTTGTTTTCATTGGAAACTACCTTTCTGTGTTGGAGTGTCATGTAATAGAGCGAGAGTCCTGCTCATTTTCCCTGTGGCCCATCCCTTGGTCTGCCTGCTGTTGTGACAGGTTGGTTACTGGTGATACACCCTGGTGTTGACAGTGGCTTAGGTTGCCTTTGTCATGGGGCTGATGCATCGCCAGCACAAGCTGCGCAAGGTGGAAAAAGCCACCGGGGAAATGTCTTTCGAAGTGACTCAGCCCCTCCTTGTGGCAGTTAGTAGTTGCTCACTTATTTCTCCTGCTCTCCAAAAAAAAAAAGGCCTAGCACAGCTTTTTAAAAGAAACCTAAATGCATTCCATTGGCATCTGGGGGCCACAGGGATCTGGTTTCAGCATCGGGGAAGGACGTGCCTGACAGGGGCTGGATCCCAGTGCCCCCTTCACCACAGACCCCGGAGCTTGGATCCTGGCTGAGACCTTGTTTTTGTTGGAGAGTCGTGGGTGGGAAGCAGAAACGATACTGGGATCCTGGGAAAATTCTGTTAGCGGGTCAGCACCTCCAGGACCGCAGAGAGATGGAGCTGTGCCAAACACTGGAAAGGATGCTGGTGAGTCATTGGGGTGCGTGCGCCACAACGGTCGTCACGCACCCACGTGTGAGAGGGCAGCAGTACACGGAGGACCCTGACCTCTGTCGCTGGGTTTAAAGATGCCTTCAGAGACAGAGCAGAGGCCTTTTACCTGATGCACATTTTGGACGTCCCCAGGGCAGCAGAGGAGACTCAGGCTGTCCTGGTTGGGGAGAGGAGGAGAGGAGTGCCTCCTGGGATTGGACATCACTGCAGCATCTCTGTCCTCATCTGGATTTTCAGTGCATGTTCATAGCCCCGGGAGCTACTATTGGAATCTGGCTCTGGCCACGAGAATGTCATGGCCTATTTTTCTATCTTATGAAAGAGCTATGATCAGTCTTTTAGTTTGTATGGAGAACTCTCCCCAGTGTCCACTCTAATACGTGTGTGCTTTTACAAAAGCAGGTATACAGAGAGAACCAACAAGCTAGAATCCTAGATTCTTTAATTGTAGTAAGATGGGATTTGAGGGACCAGCGAGCCAATCTCCCACTCAGAATTCATCTACTCATTCCCCGCCCCCACCCCCACCCCCATGCCCAGCATGTGTAACAAGGGCCTATGGGTGCTGGGGAGACAGAGTGAAAGTTTTTGTCCTAAAGGAGCAATTCTGTATCTGGCTGGGGGGATGGGCACGCAGGCAGCTCTCTCCGAGGTACCACGGAGAGGTACCACGTGGTGGTGCAAAGGCAGGGAGAATACACAGCACAATGCGAGGTGCTGGGCAGAGGTATTAACCCATTTCTGGGTCAGGGAACTTCCCCGAGCAGGTAACACTGGGCAACTCCTAAAGGAGCCGTAGGTTGA